GAGGAGCCCAAAGTGGGCCTAAGCTCACCCGAAGAGGGACTCGAACACAAGAACTGTGAGATGACCTTAGCCAAAGTTGGATGCTTAACCGACTGAGCCACCCAGATGCCCCCATTTTGGTCTTTTAAAATTTACTGTCCCGTGGGTTATGGCCCATTATATGTCATATCTTGGTGAATGTACCACGAACACATAAAAGAATGTGTATTCGGAAGTAGTTGGGTATGATTGTGCAAAATACCAGTCAGGTCAAGGTTATTTAGTTGTGTGGTTTTGCCAGTTTTTTTGTCTGGTCTGTCAGTTGTACGTTGGTTTTATTTATTTATTTTAATTTTTTGGAGTCTGGTTGACACACAATGTTACATAAGTTTCAGGTGTACAGCATCGTGATTCAACGTCTCAGCATGTTTTGCTGTGCTCACCACGAGTGTGGCTATCATCTGTTACCACACAGTGTTATTATATCATTGACTATATTTTCTACTCTGTGTTTATTCCCATGACTTATTCATTCCATAACTGGATGCCTGTATCTACCACTCCCCTCACCCATTTTGCCCATCTCCCCAACCCCTCCCCTCTGGCAACCATCAGTTTGTCTCTGTATTTACAGGTCTCATTCTGCTTTTTGTATGTTTCTTCATTTGTTTTGTTTCTTTGTTTCCAGATATGAGTGAAATCACATGGTATTTGTCTTTCTCTAACTTATTTCACTCAGCATAGTGCCTTCTGGGTCCATCCATGTTGTTGCAAGTGGCAAGATCTCATCTTTTTTGTGGCTCTGTAGTGTTCCATTGCATGTGCACACGCATGAGTGTGTGTGTACCACATCTATCATCTAAGAAGGACACTTAGTTTGCTTCTATATCTTGGCTATCGTAAATAATGCTGCAGTAAACATAGGGGTGCATGTATCTTTTTGAATTAGTGTTTGCATTTTCTTTGGGTAAATACCCAACAGTGGAATTATTGTATCATACGGTATTTTGTGTTTTTTTAATATTTTAAAGAAACTTGATACTATTTTCCACAGTGGCTGCGCCAATTTAGATTCCCACCAACAGTGCGCAAGGGTTTGTTTTTCCCCACGTCTTCACCAACACTTGTTTGTACATCCAAGGGAGCTGGGTAAAATAAATTATGGCCAAGCAAACAAAACAAACAAATAAATATGGCATTTCCATGTGGTGGAGTGCTGTGCAACTTTAAAAAATAATGAGGGGACTGATAATGAAAAATAAGAAAATTCTTAATGTACTATTAGAGGAAATAATCTGTAAGATACATTGTTAAGTGAAAAAAGTAAGGTGCGGAATAGTTGGTATAGTATATTTGGTTTAGAGATGGATGGTTGGATGCATAGGTAGGTAGGTGGGTGGACAGACTGTAGAATGAAAGAAGGAGTGTGTGGCATATTACTGGAAGGAAAGACAAAAACCTCTGACAGTGGTTGCCTCTAGGGACAGGTTTGGATGACTGGGCATTGGGAATTGTAGGGAGGCAGGCTTTTTGGTGTCGCTTCCAAAATCTTTTTCTGTAATCTTTTAATAGATCCTTAATATTTAACAAAGAGGGAGGCTTTTTTTTTTTTTTTTACTCTATTCTTATACATGTATTATCTAATAAAAGTAACTTTAAAATGTTTTATGTTTTAAAATCTGACTTTATTTTTCCCATTTTTCCTTCATTGTGCAGACTGAGCGCCAGGTATCTCGCTGGTTTGTTCAGTGCCTTCGGGAACAGTCCATGCTGCTAGAAATTATTTTCCTTTATTATGCATACTTTGAGATGGCACCTAGTGACCTGTTGGCATTAACCAAGATGTTTAAAGAGCAAGGATTTGGTAGTAGGCAGACCAACAGGCACCTGGTGGATGAGACCATGGACCCTTTCGTGGATAGGATTGGGTAAGTCTATTGAACTTGTGCAGTGTTTAGAACATTGATATTCTAGTTCCTGTGAATGGGTGAGGGGAGAGTCTAGATGCGCTTTTCACTTAGTGGGTAGGGAAACAGATGGGTGTGCTTCACGTTCCCAGTCTTACAGGGAGTAAAGACTGAGACTGAGAGGGACGTGTTTTCTCAAAATACGTATTCCATTCTCATCTTTTACTATCTTCACTTAAGAGGTTCATCTAGTCAACAGAAAATGTAGTGAGTGTCAATGGTAGGCCAGTGCAAATGCTAAGAAGACAATGACAAGGCAGATGTGTCCTCTGCCCTCTTTGAAGTCCTCATCTACGGACTTTGAATTTTATGGCAGTGAATAGAGCCACATCTTTTTTTCACATGTACGAAAATACATTGTTGATGTTTTTTGACATAAATGGTATATGCTTTTACAACTAAATTTTCCACATAACTAGATGTCCTGGAACTCTTTCATCTCAGGATGTTCTTCTTAGCTGCTGCATATTAATACATGGTATGGATGTTTATTTCATGGTTCACTAATGGTAGGCAGTTAGCTATTTTGCACATTCCAAATAATGCTTATAAAGAACATTCTTTACAAGCCTCTCTGTGCATCTGGATGAGTACAACTCTAAAATAAAGATCTAGAAATGTAATTGTTGGGTTGAAGGGTATGTGCCTTTGTATTATAAAATATCTGTTGCCAAATTGTTTTCCACAAAGCCTGTACCAATTTACACTTCAACTGACAGTGGGAGGAGAGAACCAGTTTCCCCACAACCTTGCAAACCCTTGATACTACCTATCGCCCCCCTCAGTTTGATCCCTTTGGTGCACTGATTTGCCTTTCTCGGGTTATCCGTGATGTGGAACTTTTCTTACCTGCTCTTGGTACAACCTCTGGGGTGGGCTGCCTGTTTGCATCTGTGTCAGTGAGGAGGAGATTCAGCTGCATTTAACAAAAAGGATGATGTTATCGTGGTTAGAATGGATATATATCCACGTTTTGAGGCCTGTTTCCTCTGTGAACAAAGATACACACCTGAGTGGTGAGATGCTTTATCTGGGTCAGATGTAATTGGTGGCTATAGAAACTTCCAGTCCTGGATCTGTGCTTTGGCAGGCACAAGCCCCACGTGACTGTCAGGAACTTTAAATGTGGCTGGTCGAGGGACTCCTGGCTGGCTTGGTCGGTGGAGCATGTGACTCTTGATCTTGGGGTCAGTCATGAGTTCGAGCCCCATGTTGGGTGTAGAGGTTACTTAAATAAAACTTAAAAAAAAAATGTGGCTGGTCAAACTGAGGTGTGCTGGAAGTGTAAAATACATACTGAGTTTAGAAGACTTAGTATGAAAAACAAGCACAAAAACCCATTAATAATTTTTTTTGAAAAAAATAATTTTTTTGATATTAAAGCATCTTGCATTTCACCTTATTCTCCTTCAAGGTTCAAAGTGGCACATGTGACATCATGATACCGTTTTCCTTTCCAGCTACTTCAGTGCCCTTATCCTGGTGGAAGGCATGGATATTGAATCCTTGCATAAGTGTGCTTTGGATGACAGAAGAGAACTGCACCAGTTTGCCCAGGACGGGCTTATTTGTCAGGTGAACTTGGAATAGCTGCATTTCTCTTTGAAGACAGTTTAGAGTTAGGAGTATGTTTTTAACCCTTCAACTGTACTGCCCCTTGAAACTTTCCTTGTGGAATTAGAGGTCCTACATTGTTACGAAGTTAACTGGTGGGGTGCCTGGGTGGCTTAGTTGGTTAAGCGGCCGACTTCGGCTCAGGTCATGATCTCGCGGTCCGTGAGTTCGAGCCCCGCGTCGGGCTCTGTGCTGACAGCTCAGAGCCTGGAGCCTGTTTCAGATTCTGTGTCTCCCTCTCTTTGACCCTCCCCTGTTCATGCTCTGTCTCTCCCTGTCTCAAAAATAAATAAAACGTTAAAAAAAATTTAAAAAAAAAAAGTTAACTGGATCTGGAAGAAATCTCAGGTTTTGGTGATAGTTGATATCACATAGGTGATAGTTGAATCTATGAGAATGAGTGGAGTCACTCAGAGAGATGGCATTAGGAAAAAAAGAGGCCCAAGGACAGAACCTTGGGGCGTGTCTTCATTTCTGGAGCTTGTGCAAGAAGATCAAAGGGAAAGCACGTTGAGATGCGATGGTTAGATACAAAATTGGGAAAGATCAGGAAAAGTTAAAGAAGGATTGGGAAATTTTCTAAAGAAAGTTCCACTTGAACATGTATTTTACAACGTTACATTCAACTACTTACAGTCAGAAGAAACGAAGTGTGGGCACAGGGAAGAGTAGCGGAAGGGTTTATTAGTGAGGTGGCTGGGGGTGGGGAGGAGTACGTACCCAAATGGGGCAAGGGGCCACTGGGCAGTTGTAAGACTTACTGCATGTGACAGAAGGTCCCATCTGGGGCTCTGACCCTTTGTTTTAGCGACACAGATTTTGTTTTTTCTTTTCATCAGGATATGGACCGTTTGATGTTGACCTTCGGGGACATTCCACACCATGCCCCAGTGCTTTTGGCCTGGGCTCTTCTCCGTCACACCCTGCATCCAGAAGAGACCAGCAGCGTTGTCCGAAAGATAGGCGGCACAGCCATCCAGCTGAACGTATTTCAGTACTTGACCCGACTGCTCCGCTCGCTGGCCAGTGGGGGAAATGATGTGAGGCTCGGGCTGTTGGTATTTGAGCAGGAGATGAGCAGACAGCAGGGGAGAAGCTCGTTCATGAATCATGATAGTAGTAATGATAATTGTAGTAGTGATGTGGATAATGATGGTGGTGTTTCCAACTCTGTAGAGCATCTGGTATGACTAGACACTGTGCTTAGCTCTTTCTGTACGTTACTTTATTTCATCCTTATAACGCTTGTTTGCACTAGGAATTTTCATCCTGTTTTACATATTAAGAAGTTGAGACTCAGGGAGATGTAATTTGTTCACAAGAACAATAACCACCAACTAGTAGTAGATACAGTTTGAACCCACAGTGTCTGACTCTGCCTGCCAGTATAGGATACTATGCCAGTACGGTAATCTGGAAGATAGCTTTGGCCATATTGACTGGAAAAATCTTTTTTGGGGAGCTTCGTCATTCAACTGTAGCAGGATGTATTAGCCATTCTCTTGAGGCTGGTGTTTGGGCTTAATTTCAGAGGCACTGTTGTCAGCTTGTTCTGACACACTAACAGGAAATCTCGGCCAGCAGACACCACTGGTTGGCATTGGTTCATTTATCTTGGTGATAGTTCAGCCTGCTGCATTCATACCAGCGCATAGAGACCCTTTATCCTCTTTTCTAGACTGGGTGTGGTTTTCTTCCCCACGAAACTAATCATTTTGAGAATGGTTCCTTTCCGATTGTATTCTTGGCTATGTTGTAATATTTATGGTTCCTGCTTTTTCATTTCTCCCCCTTGCCTTCCTGATCTTGGGACTAAATCGGAAGAATTATAAAGCCTTGGATTCTCTTCCATTTGTTTATAGAGACCTGATTAATGTGCTAGGATTATGCCGAAGCTGCGGGGGGAAGACTTGTTATTCAGAATTGTTCACTGACTCCTTTGCCATTGCAGTGTACCACCAGCACCGCGTGCATGTGTGTGTATGGACTGCTCTCTTTCGTTCTCACCTCGCTGGAGCTGCACACACTGGGCAACCAGCAGGTTAGTACCTGGTTCTTGTGAGACTTTCTGGCATTGCAGTCATGTCCCTAAGATACTCCTTTGGAGCTGATACAGCACACACCCACATACCTCTGGTGTTCATTTGTTTATTGCTGTTTCTTCGCATTTATTGTATTATATATGATACATATGGACGATAGAAAAATCAGAAGGTGCTGATAAAAAGAAAAAAGTATAATCCCACCACACAGGACAACTTCTGTTAATATTATGATGCGTTCTCCTCTAAACATTTTCTGCATATATATGTTAAAAATATAACCATTTGTCTCTAAAACTGGAATCACAACGTACATACTGCTTTGTAATCTCATTTTGGAATGGTGCATCAGTCCCAAACATCTGTGGGTGCTAATAAAATATTCTTCTACAGTATTTTTTTTTTTT